CACATCTCCCCAGCACTTGTCCCCAATCTTGGACGGTCCAACGCTCTACGTGCGGTCGAAACCCGCGCGTAGGTTGGTGTCTCTCTCTCTGCCATTCGCGCACCATGTCCTGGCACACGTAATTCCATCCCCACAGGAGGAAGTCGAGCTTCACCGCAAACAGCCGGTCCTGGAAAGCGCGCAACCCAATCTGCGGGATCTTCAGCGGAATCATCCGCAGCTGAGTGGGCTTCGACATCGCGTTCTTGAAATTGGATTTCGTAAACTCTCCTCCGCTATGCCCACGCTTCTTGCCCGCGGCTACGATTCCTCTGCAAACTCTAATATCTCTCGATTCCGGCAGTCGCGCAACTCAATTCTCTCTCTATCAACTTGCAAGTCTCTACGCGTCGCCGTCTCGAATTTCTCTCTGCCAGAATGTGTGCGCGCGCAGCTCTCATCAAAAATTGAAATCGCAAATTCGAGAATGAGTTGTCCGCCCTTGGCTCGCAGGATGTCATTGTTGACACTTGGTCGTGAGTATCGACTCACTTGATGGCTGTGCCGGCTTGGAGGCGTAACGGCCCTCCTCTCGCACGCGCGGCTTCACGCTCCGCCGTCGCGCGGACTCACACGCTCAAAAATTCAATTTGTTTTCCGCCATCGTACCTCGCCGCGGCCATGTTCGCGTAGCGCCGAAGGCGCGGCGGCGAAGGCTTTCGCCTTTGGCCGACTCGCAACTTGTATCCATCCCGTACTGCCGAAGGCGGACCCCTTCTGCCGAAGGCGTTGACCCGCAGCGCCGACGGCGTTTCTACCGCCGAAGGCATTGACTCCCAGCGCCGAAGGCGAACTCCTTGAAGACGTCCGTCGCCGTAGGTGCATCGCCGAAGGCGTTGACCGTGGTCAATGGATTTTGTCTTGTCTGTCGATCCCTCTTGTCCCTCCGAAGGTGCTCTTGCCGCCGAAGCTCTATCCCGCCGAAGGCGCACATGTCCGTCCCGCCGAAGGCGTTGAGCCGAAGGCAGACCGTACGGAGTTGCTACCCCCGAAGGCACTTACCTAAACTTGATGCGCTGGCGCCGAAGGCGCCATACGAAGACATTCACCCCCGAAGGCGAACGTCTAAGGCCGAAGGCGGATCTTCTGCCGAAGGCGAACTCCTTCCGCCGAAGGCGTCCGTCTACGTATCTTTTGATGATCATAACTCCTTGAGTCCCCATCCGTTCCAGGCGTTCTTCCATCGTTAGAACGAGCGTGTCGAGTTCTTTCCAACAAGACCCTAATCAAGTCAAGGGATTGTGAATTGAATAAGCTCTGAGGGATTTCCCTAGCGCCGAAGGCGTATCGCCGAAGGCGGATTATGCGCCTTGCGCCGAAGGAGATCTCCTTCAGAATTGATCATTTAGGTCGGGGCGCCTGCTCCAGACATTGCGCCCAACTCCTGGATTCTACGAGATCATACGAGACCCGCGATTATCCATCTTCACTCTATTTAAATGTACCGATCACCATGTACACGGCTGCTGCGGTATTGTTTTCCAAAAATGTTTTAAATTCCGCAAAAATACAAAAAGTGGGTTACCACACACATACCGCCCGGGATTGCTGCGTGACAGCAATGGAAACTGAACTCGCTCGGTCACGGTTAGACAATCCATCAACCGATAGAAATTGATCAAGAAGGGGGAGAGATGATTGATCGATCCCCCCTTCTCCTCAAACGCATGTTGCCGCGTTATCTTCCATAGGATGCGAGCCCAATGAATTGGAGCTCCGATCAACGCTAGCTCGACGAATGCCACCTGCCAAGAAATGATGTAGGTAGTCCTGTGCGGCTGCAAGAGTTGGAGAAGTGCTACCGCGACATTTCTGCGGTAGCGATCCTTGTAGTCCCGGGTCTTGTACCCGTTCTTGCTGGACTTGCTGCTCTTGAAAAGGGCCGCGAAGGAAATCTCCTCCTCCTTCGTGACCTTGATGCTCTCGCTATCGAAGAGGAGATACCGGTCCTCTCCTGCACATCTCCCCAACACTTGCTCCCAGTCCGTGATGACCCATTGCTCTACGTGCGGTCGAAATCCGCGCGTAGGTTGGTCTCTCTCCTTCTGCCACTCGCACACCATGTCATGGCACACGTAATTCCACCCCCACAAGAGAAAATCGAGCTTCACCGCAGTTAGCTCGTGCTGGAAAGTGCGCAGCCCAATCTGCGGAAGCTTCAGCGGAATCATCCGCAGCTGTGTCTCTTTCGACATCGCGTTCTTGGAATTGCACTGCGCAAACTCTCCTTTGCTATGCCCAAGCTTCTTGCACGCGGATGCAATCCCTCTGCGAGCTCCACACTCACTCAATTCCCGCTGTCGCGCACTCAATTCTTTCTCTGCCTTGCAAGTCTCTGCGCATCGCCTTCTCCTTTGATTTCTCTCTGCCAACTTGCGTGCACGCGCAACTCTCGCGAGAAATCAAAAATGCAATTTCAAGAATGAGTCGCCCGCCTTCGGCTCACAAGATTTCATCGTCGACACTTGGCGTGGGGATCGACTCACTTGATGGATGCGCCGGCTTAGAGGCGTAACGGGCTCGGCTTCACGCTCCGCCGTTGCGCGGAGTCACACGCTCGAAAATTGAATTTGATTTCTACCATCGTACTTCGCCATGGCCTTGTTCGCGTAGCTCCGAAGGCGCGGCGACGGAGGCTTTCGCCTCTTGCCGACTCGCATCTCTGTCCTTTGCCGCTCCGCCGAGGGCGCTTTGCCGTAAGTGTTCGACCGAAGGCGGACTTCTTCCGCCGAAGGCGTTGACCCACAACGCCGAAGGCGTACCTCTACCGCCGAAGGCGTTGACTCACAGCGCCGAAGGCGTATCCTTGAAGATGTCCGTCGACGTGGGTGCATCGCCGAAGGCGCTTGGGCCGTAGGCGTTGACCGCAGTCAACTCATCTTGTCCTTTCTGTCGATACCTCTTGTCCCTCCGAAGGCGCTTTTGCCGCAGGAGTTCCGTTCCGCCGAAGGCGCACGTGTCCGTAACGCCGAGGCCGTTGGGCCGAAGGCGGACCGTACGGAGTTGCTTGCCCCGAAGGCGTTGACCTAATCTTGATGCGCTGGCACCGAAGGCGCTCGTACGAAGGAGTTCACCCCCGAAGGCGTTAACCTAGGGCCGAAGGCGGCTCGTCCGTCGATCTAGCCCTTCCGCCGAAGGCGCTCCCTCTCAGTATCTTCCAACAATCGTAACTCCTTGATCCCTCATCCGTTTCAAGCGTTCTTGGGCTCATTAAAACGAGTGCGTTGAGCTCTTTTCAATGAGACCTTAACCAATTCAAGGCGTTATGAATTGAATAAGTTCTGAGGGATTTTCCTAGCGCCAAAGGCGTCTAGCGCAGAAGGCGTATTCTCCGCCTTGCGCCGAAGGGGATTCCCTTCAGAATCGGTCGTTCGGGCCGGGGCGCCTGTCCCGGACATTGCGCCCAACTCGATAATTCTACGAGACCCGCGATCATACATTTTCTCTCTATTTGAATGTAGCGATTGCTATTTACACTACTGATGCGGTACTGTTTTCCAAAAATGTTTTAAATTCCGCACAAAAATAAAAAGTGGGTTACCACACAATGTCTCAAAATGTGTTATGTGAGAGTTTCCCTACCTTATTTCAGCTTTAACACATGTAAGAAGTGAAGCGTACTGCATCTTGAGATCAATCCCATTTGAATTAGCTCCCATGCTCAAAGAATTTGACACTGCTACTAAATCACATGATCTGTTACTCTTGACAACATATGGAAAGAGAGCAGACATATTGTTTTGATTGCTTCATAAAATCCTTTCCTCAACTCAAATTAAAGTAAAGTTCAGCATAGACAACAGATGAATCGCTACAAGGGTAGCTAGATGCAATCACGTATCTAAGACGAGATTTAGATTCTTAACCTTTTTTCTCACAAACACTGCACCATCCTCAACCTTAATATGCAGCGGCTCTCAATTCACGTGTCAAACATTTGACCCAGGAGGTCTGCGCAGCCGGTTTGTCTTCAAGAGCCTGCCGCTGCAATGCCCGACGCGTGTTTCTAGGATCAGGCTAGGAAAGTCCACTCCTACGCATCTTGAACAATGCATGACGTCGGAGCATACATACATTCAAGACAAAGTAATTGTACATCGCAGTGAAGCTGTGGGTCTCGCTCCCTCCACCTAACTTGATTAAGGTTGATGTGGAGGAATTGAAAGGCAACTTTTTGAATTATATTCAAAGAGATGTATGATTTTATGTGGTATCAAATCGATTAGAGATATACTTCTCCGTTCATCCCAATGACCATAATATTTCTTGTCTCTTATCTCGAAAGACTATTCAACTGCGTTTTTGATGTTTGTGTTAGAAGTTAAGAGTCTCTGCTACTGAACTTCCACACAGTAATATTGCAAATACATTGATGCTACAAAACTACCATGTATATATACACCTGATAGCTCTAAGCGTGCTAGCGATTTAAAGTGTGCTGAGATGAGCGAGAGCACAAGCATGTTATCAGGTTGTAGCGCACAGAATAAGGAACGAAAAACTCTCATAACACATCCACAACTTTACAACTGGCGTGCAATTCTGGATTAGCAGAAGCGAGGTTCAACATCATAGGAGAGAGATTTGTGCACAGATTTTGTTTCATCCGTAAGATGCATTTGAAATGGATTCAGGCCACCTAAGGAATCTTGTTAAATCTTTTGGCATACAAAGAAGCGCCAGAATCAGATTCACATGAACAACGAATCTCTGAGCTTCACAGATCGGACATTGTGCTTGAAATTTAGGAGAAGCATTGCCTTTAGTTTAAATTGCTCTCTAGTTTAAACAAAAATACAGCCTGAGGAAGACAACACATCAAAGTTTGAATTCCGGACCATCATACAGTTGTTGGATGTTCATTGTGCAACAACAGAAGAATCAATCAATTATATGTATAGAAGTTCAAGGTGACCACTCCCACTTGTCAAGTGAAGGTATTTCATCATGGTGAAACTTGAAACAAGACAATATGAACTTTCTACCCTCAAAAAGTCATCTTGATAGCTTAACTGAACACTAATCTTCTTCAGAAACATAACTGTGCGATTGACATGGCAAAGATTGAAAAAGACTTCTACTTATGAAAACTGTAAGGAAGATATTGCAGAGTTGTATATTGCTTGTGGGTCTGTCAACATATGCTTGTCAACTGCATAGTGGCAATCTAACCTCTTCAAAATCCTAACATGTCAAAATTCCACAACGAAGGCCTTTACTCATGCAATTCTCGCACACCCATGCATGCCCACCTCTTTCTAAACTCATGTATTTCACCTGATACAACTTGAAGATTTTGGAATAGCGATTTTGAAGCTGAGGCGCAAGAGTTTGCTGAATCCTCAACCATGCTTCTCGCAGCTCCTTGCTTTCCCCACCTTTTACAAATGCCCTATGATCATCATCACTAATATTGTCTAGTTGAACAATATCAGATTTTAGATCTTCCCAGTCGGGAATCGCTTGGCCCAAACTGAGGGTCTTATCCAATCCAGCCTTCACAACATAACACATGACTTTGTAAAAAATTTCAATAGTTTTCCGAATCCACGAGCTATTCTCCCGATCCAATCTTATCTTCAAACCATCTTGATCTTTGACAGTGTGAAACCCAGTTACAGACTCACACATCAAGTGTAATCCAACAGTTGTCCCGTTATAAAGATGTGCACTCATTTTGTAGAAAAGCCCAACATTGTTAGTAACGTAAGGTCGCTTGGGAGTTCTAGAATGCGCAAGCCCTTGAGAATACTCAATGATTCTGTCCACTTTGGACGTGAAGGCACTCAGCATTGACTGCAGTTCTTGGTGCAGAGAGAGTATCTGTCTCACCTTCATCTCCAATCTTTGCAGAATGCTCTGCACTGATTTCAACCTTTCATCTAAATCATCAACCTTTTGTACTAGCTTTTCTTCTAGCTGATCGATCTTGAATAAAACAAGTCGGGTCGAATGATTCTCCGCATTTGTGCTGGCCTGACTCAAGCACTTGGATGTAGATGGTTTGTAGTCTTTCAATTGGGGGAAATTCAAATTGCTAACCATGTTTTCAGCTTCAGGATAACACTGAGCCAAATCATTGTCCACGCTAATTAGAGGTGCCTGCAATGACTCCAATTGTTGAATTTGTTCTTGTCGAATCTCATTCACAACCCCTTCCACATCGCTCTCCCACAACAAATCCCTAGCTCGTTTGGATATTTCTCCAGCGTGCCTTTCAATCAGGGGCCAACAGTGCTCATAGTGAAACAACTCGTCTTTCTCCATCAAGTGAGACCTTTCCAACGACATTTCCTCAAGTTTGTCATTGATGCTATGAATGAAGTCCGATTTCAGCTTCTCAATCAAAATGGCTCCTCTGAGATGACTCGGAATCAACATCTCCACGCAAAACGTTTGAATCACACTGAGCACTAGCGCCACCCCAAGACATCCTTTCGGTGATGTGCAAAATGATATCAACTCCTCGACAATATGCTTCATCACATATCTAGTAGCCATCTCCCTTGATTTATGCCTCGAGCATAACATCAGGACATCTACGTATTTGTGGGAATTTTCATCTTGAACGTGCTCGATATATATCTGATGCCTGTCAAGGAAAAGTCGGAGATAATGTCGAGAGCAGATCAGAGTCTCCTTGGTAACATGCATCTCTGATATCAACTTGCGTCTCATGAACATCTACAATGATAGAAAACTTGGTAAATATTGAGTTGGACATTTAAACAATATGTTACAATTCATGAGAAGGAAACAATCCATTCATCATACACAAATTACCATTAGAACTTGACACATACAATGTTTTCACTGAGAATGAAATCATGGTTGAACCTCACCTGGAAGCGGGGGAAAAAAGCAGCAGTCAGTGACATTGTTCTTCCATCTTGACATTGAATACGAATGCCGACAAACTGTGAAGTCTCACTCCTATTTGCCCAATACATTGACTTCACGTGCGCCCCTTCCTGATGATTATGTTCCTCCTTGCTTGCATGCTCAGGGATGAAGGAAGGAATGAAATATTGAAAAGTATCTTCGAGCTTGAAACACAAATCTAAATTGATAAGGATGTTTTCAAGCACCTCTCTTTCCACATTTTGAAAGAATGGTTGCTTTCCCAGAAACTCCTCTATTAGTTTAGCAAAGACACTCTCACTCACAAATCCGTCCTTGCTTGTGTATGAGGATCGTGACAATGTTTTGTGAGAAGACCTAAACTCTTGAGCTTGAAAGTGTTGGCTCAAAGCTACTAGCTCACCCAAGAAGGTATTGGTCATCCAGTTCGGATCTACAATGATGTAATCAAGGTTGGGGATGTACATGATGGATCCGACGTCATTCAAATAGGATATGATAGACTCCATTATACTTGAATAATGAACAAAGTTAGCAGAAGATGGTGGAAAAGATTGTGTCAAGCTAGGAGCACAAAAATCATGAAACTTTTTGGATGACCACAGAGGGCAAATTCTGTTTTTCTTGGTGTTTGTAACCAAGAGAAAGCTGAGTTGTAAACACAAGTGGGGAACTTGTGGGGATTTTTCTCTCAACAACTTGTCAAAATCCAAAAAAATGTGCTTGTTAAGAGGTATAACTTGCTCCTTCTTCCGAGCATCCACATGAAAATACTCTGGAATAGGGCAAAGATCCACAAAATTTGCGAATCTTTTTGTAAGTTCTTTGACTATGGAGTGAGCCCAACTCAAAGAATTGTATCTAGTTTTTATCCTTGTGAGAAATCACAACAAAAACTTGGGGAAGATTATGTCCCGTAACCTTGGTGCTAGATGTGATGAAGCTCAACCACTCCTCCAACTTAGTTCTGAAACAAGAGTCTGGTTTGTTTGAAGATGTTTCCTCACAAAAAGGGCTATACACAAAAAGAAAAACACAGAAATTGTTGGTTTGCGGAAAGAGCACATTTTGAAGGGTACGAAAAATCCATTGTCCTGCAAGATCCCAAATTGAGATTTGCATTTTGTCATCGTTTTGCAATAACTCCACTTCGATGCCTTTCGTCCTCCACAATATGTCCCATTTCTTGAATAGACTGGTTACACCTAGACCGCTTTTGCCTTGATTTATCCTCATAAGGTTTTTCCGCAATTGTGTCTTGCCTTCGCATTGTAAAAAAAATCACAGTATATACAATTTTATTTGACAATATATTCACATATGACTCAATATGATATTCTTTATATACAATGCGACATAATATTTTCTTTAATATGTGAAAATAACTTTGGTTAGAACATGTAGAAATCACCAAAACAATTGAAATCATATAATTAATAATTTAAATATTTGAATTTTTTATATCCCTTGCTATTTGTATGCACACATCAATATATCTAGATTAGAAAAGAATTTGTTGCGTCAATCTTAGCTTCAGATTGTAAATCGATAGATTGCTAATTGGAGTATATTGAGGGTAAAACTGAGAATTTGCATCGCATCTTACCTGCTCGAGGAGAGCCGCACAAGAAGAGTCGACCACCGTTTGCATCTCCAAAGGTTAAGTTGGCCTCTCTAAACACGGACATGTATACGGCACGCTTCTGGTTCTGCTGTAACGCCTCTTGAATCTGCACCGCCTTTCCCCATGAGACGTCTATTTCCCGGAGAGCCAAGTTAACTCGCATGAGCCCCATCAGATCCTTGAACGCCTCCTCGTCAAGTTCGGAGTGAGACAAATCCAAGTGAGTGAGGTGGTTCCCTTGCATGCTGCAAAGCAGATCCTTCCATACTCCCTTCTTCAAAAGATCTTTGCTTCGAACAGATAATTCCAGTTTCTTCAGCACTGAAGTTTCTCCAGTTTTCCCCTTCATCGGGAGGATACTGAGATTGAAAAATTTTTGTTTAGAAGCCGCCAATATACTAAGAGACTTGATTTCCCCGCGCAGTACCCTACCTAATAGGGTTAATGATAACATCACTTCATCTTCACTAGAAGTCTTGGAGTTCAAGCTCCACTGTGGGGTCCTTGACATCGGAGCTAGCAGAACGCGCAAAAGCTTCTATTGACTTCCAGTTATCATCTTTGAAGTCAAACCTAACAACTATAGTTGTTGCTACAGCGTTGTCACGTATGATTTCACCGAGTTGGTGAAATCGGTGAAATCATATTTCACCGATTTCACCGATTCTGCAAGAAGCGCAACTCCACTTCCTTCAATGATGGGTTGGAAATGAGAAGTTCCCTTAAACAGTCTCCGAGTCTATCCGAGTCCACACGCAGCAGCCGAAGACGTTCAATGGATCGATTGCGATCGTGTCCGGCCAATGCTTTCAGCAACAAGGCCGTTCCCCAGTCCACAATCTCTAAGATAAATTCTTTCAAAGAGGAGCTGTGGATCAAAGCCTGGGACAGGATTCCAAGGGTCTCATCATCCATGTCGTTATAATAGCCGCCTAAACTCAAAGTTTCTAATAGAGGAGCACTATTGATCATGTCAGCCACATGCTTCACCGCACTCGAGTCCTTCCACGCGCAATATAAAATTAAAGACTGGAGTTTAGGATCGGAATGTCCTCGCAGTCCTGATGCGAGATTCAAGAAACATCTGGCAGTCAATCTGGTGTAGATCAATTTCAATTCTATTACGCTCGAGTAGTTCAGAATTCTCCCCAGCTGTAACCAGAAGCTCTCCACTTCCGCATCTGAACCCGAAGTCAATTGTGTATCAACGTGTATCTCTCGTAGAACGGTGCTATGCCTGAATCGTCTCAAAACTAATTCCCACTCGCTATCCGTCAACCTCGATATATCTCTCCTTGAGAAAAAACTGACAAAAATATCTCCCGGGTAGAGAATTTCAAGGGTGTTGCAGCTGGCGATTGACTCCAGCACTCGAAGGCGCACTTGGCTTTGCCACCCTGTGATTGTCGAGAGCGATGCGCGCTTCGGAAAGAACTCCAGAAATTGTGGCCGGTTTAAATTGTGAAGTCTCGTTACAGGCTCGCCTTGTCCTCCGAGCCGCCGTACAAGGTCCTGGATGGCGGAGGGAAGCTCCGGTTCCTCGTCTGCGGAGTCCATTTCCCGTTTTGCAAGTTCAGCAGCTTGATTGACGATGGACGCACCTGCACCTTCCATTCTGTCCTCCACTGTCACATAGGAAGAAACATTTACTACTTGGCATGCGCTACAGGAGCCACACTCTCATTGATCCGCAAGCTCGGCTCTCCCTCGTGGGCATATGCGTGCTCGGCAGGAGACTTCTTGAACACACAAATATCACCCCAATTTCTGCAGATACACGGATCATTGAGCAATCAGCGCACGATCGGAAGTGGAATCAGGAAGCTGCTCTAGCTCAGGACAAGCGATGGTAATCCAAATGAACGCAGAAGAACGGAAGTGGAATCAGGAAGCTGCTCTAGCTCAGGACAAGCGATGGTAATCCAAATGAACGCAGAAGACCAGGACTCTGGTTCCGAGCTAAATCGTATACCGTGTGGCAAACGAGAATTCACGTATATGGGGTAAGCCTCTTGGAGAGAATGGTTTGATGTGCACTGGTGACCGAATGACACAAGAAGATAGGTGGATCTAAATTCAAGTTCGTAGCAAAAATGAAGACTGGTGACCCAATGACACAAGAAGATAGGTGGATCTAAATTCAAGTTCGTAGCAAAAATGAAGACGTGGAAGCAGAATGTTATGAAATGCATGATAAAGCAGATATCTCAGATGTGACGAACCCTGAGTTGTGTAAAAATTGGACTTACAGTTGTACTGGAAGACTGCGAATCAAGCTGCATCAAGACCAACGGGAAGACAGACCCTACGATGGCTAGCGCGGGGAAAAGCATGCATCCTCTTCAATCAGATCATCTCATTGAATCGTGTGAGCGATCAAGGTAATGACAACATTCGAACGCAAAAATTGTCTTTCTTCCTTCCTTCCTTCAAATCGTGTTCCACCATGTTCCAATCACAGACTGATTGGAACATGGTGTTAGAAGGTCAGAGTAGATCTTGACTTTTGTGTGCAAGCGAAGAGGAATCGTGGTTGAATGCGTCAGTTTGATGATATGCTGGATGTAGTCACACTGACAACTGAAATTACAAATTTCTTCTTTATTAATCCATTTATCTGAGATGTTTGATCTATTCGAGCAAGTGGATGTATTCTGCCAGCTGAGTGGCACATGCGTAGTCAGCTTGGTGTAATAAGCATGTTACGTTGTTTTCTTACTTTGAAGACCAGTACAGTTGTCTACGTAACTGTAAATAACTTGAAGGTTCAGAAGAAACTAATGACCTTTCTGGGAATTTACTAAACATAATATCGAAGAACTGTGTACAGAGCATACCAGTTTTTGAGGTGTTCAACTGCTGGTATGATTGTTCTTCTACCCCACTGTCAAGCATGTGAATGCATGCACAGTTTGGATGTCTTTAGAACACAAACATCAAATTGTTTACGAATTTTGATCGTGCTAAGAGCTCTCTTGCTTGTTTTACGCGTAGTACAGAAGACGACAGAGACATCATGATCTGTGAATGTGAATCCATGCACAATCTGGCGTCCAATGGTGAACATGTAAAAGAACGTTCGAATATCTCAAAAATTTGTTAAAAATTGTTTAGCATACTATTTCTCACTCTCGGTTTGTACTTGACTTACTCTACCAGTTCACTCCAGTGAATACAATGAAGATGCTGGGTGGACACTTTTGATGTTTTCTGTGGGACCTTGGGTAACAAGTACAATTCACAGTACATTGCCTGAGTCACGCCACAGTCCTGTCTGGTTTCTGAACACGCAATTCAAGCCAACCGTTAGTTTAGTTGACTATTACAGCCCAGAAACCTCATCTTCTTTTCGCTTCTTCACATGCAGTCTATGGCAACTGTGTTGTGCAAAGTAAACTACTGAGTTTCTGATGCCATGCAGCTCTATCACACTATCCTTAAAGAGTCTGTTCTGATGCCATGCAGCTCTATCACACTATCCTTCAAGAGTCTGAAAGCCCAAGAGGTTGGTTTCAATCTAGTTGACGGTGCTTCACCTGCACAAGTCGGACGACCTCGGTGTTCTCGAATCCAAACTTCATAAACCATAAGATCCACACCGTTTCAAATTGTCCATGAACCGCATTTTACAGTCTGTTGCGGACCACGACGGGTGAGTTCGTTCCCTGCTCTATCTCTATACCAAATTGTCCATAACCCCAGTCACAAATCTCTGCCTTTCTTCATTAAAGCTTTTGTCTGGATATGATCGATGAGATTTTCCCTTGCGTCAAATGGAAAAGCAATTGGAGATTCGGTTGCCCATATATTGTCGTGAACTTGCATGCTAGGCAATTGCCAGCACCAAGTTCACGACATTAGCTTCATCTGAACTATACCAACTGAATCTGAACATATTCGTGCAGTGTCTTTCGGTGTCGTCTTCCGCTAAATTTTTCAGACCCGACCTGTACTAAGACGTGGGTGTGTCTCATTACCTATTTTATCACCTGCTTGCACTTGTCCACAATCAAATCAGTGTCGATGAACAGCTGTAGTAAGAAGAGTAAATGACGCTGCAGCGTGTTTCGGTGTGGTCTTCCGCTAACTTTTTCAGAACCGACACCAGACCCGACCCTGTACTAAGACGTGGGTGTATCTCATTACCTATTTTATCACCTGCTTGCACTTGTCCACAATCAAATCAGTGTCGATGAACAGCTGTAGTAAGAAGAGTAAATGGCGCTGAAGTGTTGATTGGTGACTTCGTCCAATGAACTGAAGTGAGCAGTTCGTCTCAGAGCATTACTCAAAGTGCTGTACCGTAGTAGAAACTACAAAACTTTCCCGAATCTTCACCACATTTGTTTTGACTTTACGGGTGTACATCGCGGACCCACTGATTTTGTTGAAACCAGAGTGATTGACACGAAATTGCATACTGAATACGTGGTGCTAAGATGACAAACTGTTAACCAGTTCAAAGCTCATCAATCACGCCACATGAAGACCTGCACGACTTTGCTTGGCTCGCCAATATCCAAAAACATTTGAGTAGCAAGAAGCATACATCACACACAAAGCTTATAGAAGAATTCCTCGTACCTGTTTTCACGGATCTACAAGTTCTTGAGGAAATAAAGGAAATTTCAACATAGTTAACATCCATGATAGTTCTGTTACTCCCAATGTAATTGATATCTCCGTGACAGTCTCATCCAGTAACAACCATGATTCCTACAATCCAAACATGCTTTATTACTCTAGGTGATTAATGCGGAGTCAATGATTCACGCGAGAAACTTCAATTGCAAGAGCAAACTACCAGATTGGTTGCGATTGTATTGTGACTCTATGAGCAAAAATGTGCACTCATGGACAAGTCATATTGGTATATTTTATGTATGAATCAATAGTGGGGTGTCATAGCTAGAGCTTCAAGTTAAGAAGTAAGTCAAAGAGTGTTCTCAACAAGTCAAGATATTATGTTTACAAACTTAATTGCTTCAACAAAGCTAATAAAAAAGTAGAAAGTTATGCACAAGATGCATTCCTCGTGAACAAGTTAGATCACCTAATTCTTCCATTGCCCTACCGGTTAGGTCACCTTATTTGTCATGCACATACATGTCAAACATCAGAGCACACATATTGTCATAAACACAAGTGAAGAGCACTCCTTTCAATTGGAGTTTAGATTACTTTTAAACTAAACCTCAATCTACTCCAAAACATGAATTGATATTTTTGGATTTAATATAAGGACACTCGGAGGTATAATTATAGTATCCACTGGTAGTGTTTTTTTTTTTAATCCATATCTTGACAAAGTCTAATTGGGACGAGTACACTACTATTTCCCACTAAATCCTTTGTTTAGAAGAGTTGTCAACATGGAACATATCATACTCCAAGTATGAAAAAAATCAGCATAGCTTTTCTTGCATCATCCAATTCATAGAATGAATATATATTAAATTTTACCGAGAACAACATAAAATGAAAAAAATCAAATGACAGTTGAAAGACACTATACAATGTGAATCATTACAAAACTACGTCCACGGGAAAGTGCATGCGTGAGAATAATCTAAGGAAAAAACAAATCCCGGGGTGATAAATACCCCAACATATGCGCCCTTCCTTGCTATTTTTAGCTAGGATATGTGGTTTGTGTTGATATGAGTTAATTTGAATAATTGAATAATCTTTCCATTAACTCGTGTTAAGAATAAACTAAACCCTAAACCTCTAACCTTAAACCTCTGTAACCTATATTGTTACTCTGCAGAAATATCTAAACAAAAAATTTATCACAAGGCTTCTCTTTACACAAGAGTTAACTAGAAATAACTCGTAATTATAACAGTATAGAATAATAACATAAAAAGTTAACTACAAACCTACTAGCATAGAGTAAATAAATTTCTCTTAATCTTAACAATTACTTTGCCAGAAGTTTTGGAAATAAACCTTGTACAAAATTATTTTTTACACTAGAGCTAACTAGAAAGTCGAAGCCTTCACATGATAGAGTAAATATATAAAAAAATAACTGAAGATATTATGCTATCAAACTCTATATGTGCTTTTCATGAACAATCTGCATGATAGCACAATATCACTTGAAACTCTCCAAAGTAATAACTTTGTTTAACGCCTCAGCTGGATTGAGTAGTTCAATCTTTTTTTAGTATTTACTATCAATCTTGACTAACTGAATTGATTTATCAAAATTTACCGTCAATCTTGACTAGCTCAATCATCACAATTTAGCATCAATTTTGATTAGCTCAATCATCACAATTTAACATCAATTTTGACTAGCTCAATCATCACAATTTAATATCAATTTTAACTAGCTCAATCATCACAATCATCACAATTTACCATCAATCTTGACTAGGTCACTTATCATCGTTTATCATCAATCTTGATAAGCTGAATCATCACAGTTTACCATTAATCTTGACTAGTTTAGTCATTTCAATAGACACACTTCTTTGATAAATATACCAGATGTCGTTATGCTTCACTCTACTATAAGTAAGTTGGTTCGCAACCAATTGTGAAACACTACGACTATCACAATAAAGATTGACCACGCCTTGTGTCAAATTACATCTCCATGATAAGTATGTTGGCTACATAAAAAAAAATGTGTGCGTGCCTAAACATGCCCGTACTTGCCCGAACTATCTAGAACATACTCAATCCTGCTCATAACTACCCGCCATGTGCATGTGCTTTTTTGTGCTGCTCTATCCTTTCTGAGACTCTCCAACGCGTGCCCACACTGCTCGACCTGCTTGTCACGTGTCGGCATGTGCAAACTTTTTCTGCCACTTGTTGCCCGCGTCTACGTGGCATGCCTACGACTAGATGATCTGCCTACTGGGTCTTCTACAACCACGTGGCATGTTGGCATGTGGCTTCTCCATTCCTACATGGCCTCGTGTCTCGTTGGTGCCATCCTAAAGTACTTGAAGCTTGCTCATAATGCTCAAGAACGATTGCTCCTGTATCGAATCTTTCTTGTTATGTATGAATGATTCATTTGCAGAGTATGTTTGTTCAACTAAATGACTTGGATTGACACACCTGATCTTTCAATGTATTGACAATTCAAGTGGGCAACAAAATATGCAGAGTACCAATTGCACCAGTAATTAGATTGATGGTGTCCATGAACAACTTACAAATTTTTCACTTCATGCAAAGATTTCTTTGAATAAAATTCAAGCTAACTCAAATCTGTCTTGTATGTATATTTGAACGTTAGTAAACTTTAAGTGTGGTTGCATATTGCTTGAGCAAACGAATAGGTCCTTTTGTCTCCTTTGGCATAACGGGTATGACAACAACAAATAAATACCAAAGTGAGACATAATGGTGTAGATCCGATACCACGAGAATAGAAACAATATCAAAGATTCAAATACTGTCACAATTAACATTCTATTGAGGAGTTTTACTTCTCATGCACATGTCACTCCAAGAAGCATCTACAAGTGTTAACCCAAAGGCTATACAAATGCAGGATGTAAACACATCAA